GGGTTTGAGCTCGAGACTTTTCGGTTTAGCAACCATGAGCTTTACCGATTCGACCACGCCGACCCCTTATTTGATAATAAATTATATACAAATGCATATCTTTAGAGACCAGATGGCAATGAAGAAAATGTAGACTTAAGACTACCAGGGGATAAGAGAGAAAAATTAAAACGGAATTTCAAACCCGAATAACGAATCCTAATCTGTTATCAAATATGTTTGTTAAAGCTTTTTTGGCAAAATTATTTTTATTGCCTTGGTGTCCTCCCCCACTCCTCCCCCTACACCCACACTGAATGTTGTCACAAGGTTCGGACCGCACTCTGCAAATAATGATACTGCCAATGCCTGCAAAAATTGAAGTTAATTAAACAACAAAAATGTCTTGTAAATAATGTAAGTTTTAACGACGTCGTAATTTGCATTTATTTTGTGATATTTTAAATGAAGCTTAACTAACATATAGGTTAATACAAATATAACTAGAGTTCTCAACACAAAGTAATAAACACTTAGACACTTAGAATCTACTAACCATTAGTCCTCTAAAAATGATCATAATTAGTAACAACTGAAAACATTAACACATCTGAAATTCCTCTGAAAACATAACATATGAAGAACGTAAGGTTAAAATATAAAGAATATACTATACGCAACGTAACAAGTTGAAATCTTGTCAACACAAGGGAAATGATGTCTGCCGATATTCAGACTATAGAAAAAATTAAGTAACAACTGAAAACATTAAAACATCTCAAATTCGTCTGAAAACATAACATATGAAGAACGTAAGGTTAAAATATAATGAATGTGCTGTACGCAACGTAGGCCTACCCAGTTGAAATCTTGTCACCACAAGGGAAGTGATTTCTGCCGATATTCAGACTATAGAAAAATACAGGTCTTTATATATGATTCAATGCTGTTAATTATGTTAATTTTATCTTAAAATAATACGAATAGACGTTCCGCCGCAATGAAATTTTAGAGACATGTTTCAGAGATTAAAGCCAATTCTATTATACTTTTGTCTAACTCGACTCAACCGTTTTAGAATTTCGCAACAGATCGGGGTGTTGAGATACATTAGTTTGATAAAACATTCTATTTTATGCATACCAGCAGACATTTTACATTTTAAAATGGTATCGCATGAAGCGTATTAAGGCGACCCGTATGAATAACTTAGCTTTTGCATTTGTCCGGAAACGTTGAACATGTTCACATGAATGTTCAACTGTATTCTACCAAGTATCGTAAGCGCTAAAATTAGAAACGAATTTAAAATAATCACTAATTGCCACGTGAGCTTAATGTCCTAAACTTTTTCTCATATTACCGTTCTAATAAAATCTATAAAATTTAATGTACTTAACGTTATTAGTACAATATAAAGTACAAGCCGGCCCGCGGCATAACATACGCCGCTATTTAGTTGTTTCTAATTTTCAATAATTCATAATTTGTGAATTCGACAGTACCAACGCTGACACTGAAAATATTTCTTTAAAACACTATAAGTAGCTCGTTAAGGACCATACCCCCCCCCCTTCCTTCCCCTCCCCCCCCCCCCCCCCCCCCCCTACGTTTAAAATCGTTGGCTCTGCTTGTAAACATTTAGAGTGAACACAGCTCACTAAAACCATGTAGGGGTGGGGAGGTAAGGAGAGCGTTTGCAGCTTGTTTTCTAACGGCTCGAAGAAGAGAATTATATATATAGATGTCGTCACTGTAAGTAAACGTTCTTTTTTTATAAAATACTTCAACAAATTATAATAATTAAAACAAATATGAATGGTAAGTTGCAATATATTTTGTTCGATTAAATAAACAAAAACACCTGGCTTCCCTTAGGAAAACAGCCTATGGTCAGTTAATTTAAAAGCTTCGAAAAAAAAAAAAACAAGTTAATATTCATCAGGACCCTGCTAAGAGAAAAACTTAGTTACTGACACCTGTCACACTACCATTGTTTTTGTTGGGGAATGATTTTCATTGTATCTGAGCAGTGACTTTTATGGAAAAGAAATCCAGTTTGAAACCAACTTCGGAAATTATCATTGGTTTTGTCAAATCTAAGCGAACATTCATTTTCTGTAATATTAAATGATATACTGAAATAGGCAACACCAGGGGTCGGCAACCTACAAAATTTCCCTATTTTTAAAGATCTACTAACATGTACATCTACACTTCGGTACTGGAAAGCAGGGAACTAGTGCCATGGGGCTGGTGAAGCACAGACGTGGGGCTGGGCCCAGTGGCGTAGTGAGGTGGGGGGGGGGGGGTAGTGCGGACCGCACCTGGTCACACCATTTAGGGGGAGACACCAAGGCAAAAAATAGCAAAATATATAGAGAATAATGATAATTCCACTTAATTAAGTGATTAATTCGAGAGTTAAAAAGTCTTTTAAGAGCACATTTGACAAATCCCGACAAGGGTGGTGGAAGGGGGTGGTTGCAAATTGAAAGTTTAGGGGGGTGCAAATCGAAAATTTGAGGGGGGGGGGGGTTGCAAATCGAAAATTGAAAGTTTGTCCCCGGGAAGGGTCTCTACGCCTCTGGGGGTGACACACGACCTCGCGGCCGTCAGCTGTTTATATACGCTCTACTCCATCTATTCTCATTGTTGTTGTTTTTTTGTTTCAAGTTGTTATCTTTTTTACAGTATATTATTTATTGAGTTATAAAAATAAAATAATGTAATTTTTATGAAACTGGAGAGCCGCATATTGACATCAAAAGAGCCGCATGCGACTGGCGAGCCGCAGGTTGCCGACCCCTAGGCTACACTGTTGCGACATGTCTCTTTCACTCCCTATCATTTTTCTCACTCTGTGGTGGTTTCTGTCACGTGGCAATGCAAAAAAACTACGTGACGAATGTAAGCGCGTTCAACATGTTGCAGTGCGAAATAGATTTAATTAGGTATGACTCATACGCGCTTTTTCGATGCATTTCAACGCTAAAATAGGTGTTATTGTGTTTTAACATAGCCCACCTAGACGACTGCTGAGCGATAAAAATGATTGAATGTTACATATCTGCTGGTGTTCATTCTTGTGTTTTATTGGCGACAGATCAAGTTATCTCAGGACAAACGATCTCAGGACAAGTGATGTCAGGACAAATGATCTAAGGACAAGTGATCTCAGGACAAATGATCTAAGGACAAGTGATCTCAGGACAAATGATCTAAGGACAAGTGATCTCAGGAGAAATGATCTAAGGAAAAATGATCTCAGGACAAATGTTCTCAGGACAAATGATCTAAGAAAAAATGATCTAAGGACAAGTGATCTCAGGACAAATGATCTAAGGACAAGTGATCTCAGGAGAAATGATCTAAGGACAAATGATCTCAGGACAAATGTTCTCAGGACGAGTGATCTCAGGAGAAATGATCTAAGGACAAATGATCTCAGGACAAATGTTCTCAGGACGAGTGATCTCAGGACAAATGATCTAAGGACAAACAATCTTAGACTAAATATCCCATGCAAAATATCATATTAAGAAATTGATATGAGGAAAAATTATCTTTTGACAATGATCTCAAGACAAATGATGTAACCCAGAAAAAGATTTCTTATCATATGTCTAATTCGTGCATCAGGTGATAGCACGTGTTTTTCGTGACCCTGTATCATTAGTGTCTGATTATTACATACGCGTTGGTTGGGTTGAACACTAGAATAATTAAATCAGATTTTATCTCTGCACAACGTTTCGGTAATGTAGCTTTACTGCAACATCGGCAAGAATAATTCAAGCGTAGCAACAACAACACCTCTGCCGAGGCAGATGTTTTCCATCACATTGAATATCTGCTGAAATTTATTTTCAAAAGAATTAATCAACAGGGCACGGAGTGTAAACGTTTAATTAAATTTTGTAATTTATCCTAAGCATTCAAATTGTAAACTAAAAATTATAGAAAAAAACAAGATTTAAAAAAAATCCCTACCCCTAATGTTAGCAGTGTTCTTATTCGAAACATGTTTTAGTTTACACTTATGTTGATATCAATGTTAGATATGACAAAAATAAATGCTCCATAGAGTCAATTGCATATATGTAGCCACATATATGTATATTCTATAGTAATGCTTAATGAAATGGATGAAAGATAATGGCATTTACGATGAGTAGTAATGAGCATTGACCTAGTTGTTTCGGGGTGAAGTTCCATTTTGTCCAATTTCGTCCACTTAACATGCTGATTGGTACATATTTGAAGTTCATGCTCAAGTGAATGAACGCTGTTTACAAAGAAATATAACGAAGTATCTTCAGCGAACATATCGCACTAACCTGCATCGATATGCAAAGCAAGATTATTTAAGTGTAATGAAAAAATGTAAAGAACATTATAATAAAACTGGGAACTCCTAACCTAAAATAACATATTTCTGTAAAGATAATGTATTAAGATAAAAAGGAGTGACGTAACCTAACGGTAGTTTCGTTGAAGAATGGAATACAATTCATCTCTCTTAGGCTGTCTCATTCTCTATATTTCCCTTTATTTTCTCCCACTTTCTCTATGCACGATGTGATCACGTGATAATGCAAAACGTTTTAAAACTTGTGATAGATCTGGCAACTTGCAACATGTTTCATTTCGAAACAAATTTATTTTTGTTAACCATGTGGGCATTTTCTTCACGCTACAACGCAGATTGGTTTCAACATTTTAAAAATACGGGCTCCATACGCGCATGCTTACGCGATAACAATTTCGAATGTTACAACTCAGCTAGTATTCACAATGCCAGAAGGTTTTTTTTTGTTTTAAATCTTATTTTACAAAATTGTTTTGCACGTGGCTTCGTGTTCGCGCATACAGGAAAACTGAATTTGAATACAAATTAGATATAATGTCGACAAAATGCTTTTAATTCTAAATGCCATGGGACATTAAAATGGAATTATTCTAAAAAGATTACCATAATTAACAGCACTGATGTATATAAAAAGACTGGTATTATCATGGTCTCTAACGGTTGTCTGACCCTATCTTCGTTGCGGTGAAATAAAATTTCAACTGGGTATGTTAAAAACCGTTTATTGATAAACGCGAACTTTTTGGCTATTTAATGATGGTTACTTATTGCGTTTAGTTTTAGAAAAATCTTGTCTTATTTTAAAATGTGTAACCTTTTACTGACAATGTTTTTGTACATTATTTGTTTGGAAAACATGTAAATCATTTCGCTTAGTTAGAAATAATTCAAAATTTTCACACATTTGTTTTGACTATTTTTATTTTAAAATTGTGACGCATAAAAAAATAAAATGAATTTACTTTTTGAATCGTAATTGTGGTCATATTTTGTGACAGATAATCGACTCAGCCTATCTTCTTTACTTTGTTAAATGTTATGCTTTTAATAGATATACGCTTGACGTCATGTCGTATTTATAAGACGTGAACGTTAGTTGCATATTATACTCCGGAATACACATTAATTTGTGTAGAATTATAAAATTGTAATGTGATCATATTGTTTTAACGTTGTATGCCGAATTAAGGACACTCTCTATGAATTTTAAAAACGTAATGACTGCCTTGTGTTGAAATGTAAATCTAGTGACAACAGATGGGCTAGCAACCAAAAAATATTTGAATACGACATAATTGAAAAAATAGTTCAGAATATGACAATAAAGAATCTGATTGTTTTGTTTTATGTTGAAACTTGTGAGTATTTCTATATATTTTAATCAGCAATATTTACGGAACGATTCTAAATTAAAATGTATTAGCAAATAGTTTAGTATTGATTACAATACTGCTTAAAAAGACGTTAATATCCTCATCATGAACAGCTTTAAAGAGTTTCAGTCCCTGCTTTTAAAGTAACTGAAAAATACTATATTTATATGAGTGAAAATTTACTCATATTTGTTTATATATTTGTTTAAACACGTATACGATTTCTAGATATAAGTATCTTAATATAAATAATTTTGTCAACTGTTTTTATGATGATAATTTACAGGTTACGGTCATGTTGAAGTCTGTTCTAGTCGTGTTTGCTGTGGTGGTATCACTATGTGATGCCTTCTCAAGGGAGAAACGCGGAGATGTTGATTCTTCATGGTTTGCGAACAACTTCAAATTATGCCTGCATTGGTCAGGGACGTTTGACTGGTTTCAATGCAACGGTGGTGGCACAACTCCTCAAGACCTTTGTGCTAACGTCAACCAAATGACCCCTTTTTACCACGACTGGACGGATTGGAGAATTGGTGGCTGTAAGATGCAATGGGGGATCATTTCCTCTGCGACTAATCCTCCAGATTGGCTGAGTAAAGTAAAGATGTGCTATCAGTGGTACGCAGAGTCTGACGCTACTCAATGTGGGGGTGATGCTGGTAAAACCTACTGCGCTGATGTCAACAAATACACCACTGAATATTTTGATGACACAGGCAATCGAGATGGGGGCTGCATGATGAGATGGATGATTCAAGTCCCGGACAGCTCCCCAACTTGGATGAAAGGCGTGCAGATGTGCTTCAACTGGGAAGCAGAAGGAGACGCAGGACAGTGTGGTGGAAAAGCTCCGTTCAGCCAGTGCGTCAAAGCTAACAGTTGGACCGAGTACTACCGTGACAAAACTGACGACAGAAGAGGAGGCTGCAAGATGAGCTGGGGCTTGAAGACTTCTAATTGAAATGAAGTTGAAAATTAATTAAAATATTTATTTTTTTTTGTTTTAAATTTAGACAAAATCAAATGCTTCATAGCATGTATTGTCCTTTGAGAAATAAATTCAACTTGTAAATTAAAAAAAAAATCTGCTTTTATTTTCTCAGAGTTGATTAGACAAGAGTGAATTAATATTGTTCCTATGTATATATATTTATATTGGGTCTACGACAAATTCCCGAAAGACACTTGCCCGAATGCCGTTTGCCCGAAGGCCGATTTTCCGAATGGACACTTGCCCGAATGCGACAAACGCCCGAATGGACACTTGCCCGAATGCGACAAATGCCCGAATGGACACTTGCCCGAATGCGACAAATGCCCGAATGCCACTTGCCCGAAAAATGTTAATATTATTTATTACTAAATAATCATTCGTTATCAATTTAAATTTAAAATTTTGGTAAACAAAACACATCTACGCAAAAAGAAAGTGAAAAAAATAATGTTATATATTATACGCAGACATTTTAAATTAATTTGTATTTGATCTTTAAAAAGTGTAGAAACATACTTTCTCTTCCATATATATGATATTAGACAAAAATACAATTTTCATTCATCTCCGGATTTTAAAATGAGTTTTGCTTTTTTTATTAAGTAATCGCTTCAACACATTGACTTAACAAGGTGCATTAAATGGAGATCAAACATATCTGACTACGTTTAGTTTTTAAATTTGCCACCTATACCTCGCCTCATTCTTTTGTTGAATGATCACCACACAAGTTTAAGCATGACAAGATAAACAAACAAACGTTCCTCTGTTCAATGTAGCGAGACGCCGCGCCGCCTACGCCGTGTCATAAAAGCTATACAACCACCGCAACACGTCGGCTAAACAAGGTGTTCAAAACATACATCAAAAGAATGTTCGAACACCGCCGCCAACATCACCTTACATTTATTAAAGAATTAAGTTTTTTTTACAGCTCTTTCTCAGTTTTGAAAAAAAAATAAAAGCTAAATTTAAAAATATAAACATCTTTGTTTTATGCTTAGAATTGTGTTTATAATCAAAATTTCAAACTTAAACTGATTAAAGAATGTCTATTTGGAAATATTATTTATTATCTAATATTAACATTTTTCGGGCAAACGGCCTTCGGGCAAGTGGCATTCGGGCATTTGTCGCATTCGGGCAAGTGTCCATTCGGGCATTTGTCCCATTCGTGCAAGTGTCCATTCGGGCATTTGTCGCATTCGGGCAAGTGTCCATTCGGGCATTTGTCGCATTCGGGCAAGTGTCCATTCGGGCGTTTGTCGCATTCGGGCAAGTGTCCATTCGGGCATTTGTCGCATTCGGGCAAGTGTCCATTCGGGAAATCGGCCTTCGGGCAAACGGCATTCGGACAAGTGTCTTTCGGGAAAACGTCCGGCTCCCATTTATATTTATATTAAGTGTCTTTTTGTATACTTCTGACTATTGTTTCTCGACGTGTTTTTTGTTGTCAGTGATTTAGGAACAATTTAGTGAGGCGTAGTGTGTAAGGTGTGTGTGTACGTCAGTTTTGTGCACAGGTTTTAAATTCCTTTTTTTTAGTGCTGTGGGATGAGGATGGTTGTCTGCCGTTCAGACTCCTAGACTATCTATGGCATCAAAAGTTGAAGGGGGTATGCTCCTTAAAAGAATCACAAAACTCCTTGTTTTTCGTCGTAATAGGTTTCTTGCAAATTTGGATACTTTGTCCCTTTTTGTATTAATAAAAAAATAACTTTAATAAGAAGAAAAATCAATGTGCTTAAAATGCTATTTTTATGACCCTATTAATTAAAAAATAATAAAATAAATGTTCCCCAATCTTACAAGCTCTCTAAGAAAAGTTTGATATCCGTCCGTCATCATATTGTATTTGGCATAAATGGAAAGCTGAATTTTTCGTGTATTTGATAATCTTAATTTCAGTCATCCCGGAAACACCCACAGCTTACAATCAGGTTTGCATTTTACACAGATACGAGCTGACCCGCAACGTAAGTATACGCCGCTAGTTGTTTTATTTTCTACTTCTCGGTAATTCATAATTTGTGAATTCGACACTACCAATGCTGCCACTGAAAATGTTTTGCTTTAAACACTATCAGTAGCTTGTGAAGGACGATCATCCTCACCCTCAGTTCCCTTCCAGGCGTCCATTATAACAGAATACAGACGACTGTAAAAAGATCAATCAAAAGGCATCATTACCTCCCCTTAGTTTCCAATCGTTTAAAACTCAATTATATGCCCCTTATGGCATTTACTATTTCGACCCGGCTCTACGATTGTAAACATTTGGCGTGAACCACAGCTCTCAAGACTGATCAGGGTGGGAGTGGCAGCAATATGCCTAGAGAGCAAGGGAGGGGGCGTTTCGGCGTGCGTACGTAGTGTCCCGCATGTTCCCTACATGAAGAGAATTATATATATACGAGCTGACCCGTGACGTAGCATACGCTGCTATCTAGTTGTTTTATTTTCTGCATTTCACTAATTCATAATTTGTGAATTCGACACTACCCTACCCCCTGCCCACCCCCCCCCCCCCCCCGCCCACCCTATTACGCCCAGTGAAAGCAACCGTTTACAGACGACAATGAAAATATCAAGCTGAATTTATTCTCCCCTTAGTTTTCAATCGTTTGAAAACTAAATTATCTGCCCCTAGTATTGTAAATATTCGATGTGAACCACAGCTCACCTGACAGGTTGGGTTGAGGGTTGTGGCTAAGCTGCGTGGTGTTTTCTATGGTCTTCATGAAGAGAATTATATATATACGAGCCGACCCGCGGCGTATCATATGCCGCTATTTAGTTGTTTTATTTTCTACTTTTCAGTAATTCATAATTTGTGAATTCGACAGTACCACGGCCACTGAAAATATTTGCTTTAAAACACTATCAGTAGCTCGTTAAGGACCATAACCCCCACCCTCCTTTCCCCCAACCCCTACCCTACCCTACACCACCCCCCCCCCCCCCCGCGTGACAACAGCCTCCTCTTAGTTAACTCCCCTAAGCTTAAAATCGTTCAAACTAAATTATCTGCCCCTAATAGTCGCCACTAAACCCGACTCTACGATTGTAAACATTAAGCGTTAACCTGAGCTCACTAGACCATGTGTGGGTGGTAGGGATATGCCTAGAGAGAAAGAGAGGGGACTGCTATGCGCGCTTACAGCTTGGTGTTTTCTATGTTCTCTATTAAGAAAATTATATATATAAATATATATATATATATATATATATATATATATATATATATATATATATATATATATATATATGTATATATATATATATATATATATATATATATATATATATATATATATATATATATATATGTATATATATATATATATATATATATATATATATATATATATACACCCGAGCTGACCCGCGACGTAACATTGGTCGTTTTCTTTTATTTACTACTTTTCACTACGTTATAGTTAGTGAAATAGACACTACTCTCCCTTCCTTTCCCCCTCCACTCCCCCCCCCCCCCTCTACCGTGAAAGCCGCCGTCCGGGACGACAGTTTACAAACTACAATAAAATGCTCAAGTAGAACTTCTTACCTCTCCTTAATTTCAAATCGTTTAAAACATAACTTATCTGCCCCTAATAGCCGTTAGTAAATTGACCTGGTTCTACAATTGTTTACATTCGAGATAAACATTAGCTCACCCGAATGCTGGGGTAGGGGTGATAGTTATGCCTAGAGAGCGGGGGGGGGGTGTAATGGCGTGCGTTAACGTGGTGTCTCGCATGGTCCCCATAAAGGGAATTATATATATATATATATATATATATATATATATATATATATATATATATATATATATATATATATATATATATATATATATATATATATATATATATGGTATTTTCGTGACCTACGTTTCGTTATTTTTGACTGTTTTTCTCAGTTCGCAGGTTTTTAACACTAAACAGTCTACTACGTTTTGATTTATTAAACAATACCCACCATAGTTTAGTTATTGTTCTTCATACAAAAATGCAACGTTTGTCACCAAGGAATTGTGATTGTTTTCATAGAAAAAAAGTATATCCAACTATATAATGGACCACGTGCGCACTTCTCTCTCTCTCTCTCTCTCTCTCTCTCTCTCTCTCTCTCTCTCTCTCTCTGTCTGTCGGTCAGCAAAATATTTTCGCCGGACATCACATCAGAAACTGCAGCGATATATGAAGAACTTTATACGGACTTTTGTTGAAAATAATATGTTAGATGTTTTAAATGTATAACCACAATTGTATTTAAAGAAGAAAAATAAAAAATAAAGGCGTATTCGAATGTAGAAAAACACTTTTAATTATGCAACCGGAAAAGTGTTTAAACTTGGGACAAGAACGCATTTAACAATGACGGCGCTTATTGTTTACACTAAAAAAAGAGCACGAAACTGATGACGTCATCTTCCGAGTTTAGAATAAAAAGAAATGAACTATTTCATTCAAATATGATTTAGAGCTATGTACGCTATGAAATGTATACAATACGATTTTCTTGGCCTAAACTTAAAAAAAAATATTTTATCTATTTGGATTCTAGATCTAGACTAGATATAAATCTACGCAAAAACTTGACGGAGACGCTACGTAGCTAAGATCTATTCTAGATCTAGATTTGGACTCTATCTACTGTAGAATCTATTCCAAAAATAAATTTCTATAATAAACTTTTTCAGGACTTAAATATTTTATAGAAATCTTTGTACAAGGTAACTAATTAGCTGAGATGATAGTGTACTTGATACCACACAGGTGGTGCTGGATCGAGACACACCAAGTCAAACCTAATTTTTTTATATGTGAATCTTCCTATTTTAGACTATAAAGAAAGGAACTACTTTGGAAATCTTTGTTTATCTATGCCCTTTGCTAATATCTCTAATATATGAAGCAAAGTTGTCGGGTGCCCGACATCGGGCACTTCCCGGCGCCGCAGGCGCTTCAAATTTGGCAGGATTTTGCCTTGGGGCGACAGAACACCGGGGCCGGTGCCGGTTGGGCTAAGCGTCTACGATGAGGGGGTCAAAACA